CGAAAGAGAACTCTCTGGGCTTGGCCAACCAGCAGCTATCAGCCAGGTAGGGATAGAGGAGGCATCTTGGACCATCATAGGCTGAGCCCAAGCTGCGGTTCACCCTGTCCAGAGTCCTCCGGCCTTCCCAACAGCTCAGTTCATCTATAGTGGCTTCCTATGGCCCAGAGGCCATGAGAACACTTGTGCCATCAGCACCCGGAAATCTCTATCCCCAGTACAAATTCTCATGACCAGGCAGAGCTCCCATTTCTCTGAGCACTTGCTGAGAGTGCAATCCAGTGCTAGGTACCATAAAAGGCATCTCTTCCCGGAAGAGCTTGGAGGGATGGCAGAACTGTACATTGGTAACTAGAAAACTAACGTGACCACAGGTGAGTGCGTGTGCAGGTGAAGGATTCCAGCTCTGGGCTCTTGGAGGCTCTTGGGGAGAATTGCAGCAGAGGCCTCAGGGAGATGATGGATTTAAGCAGAGGTCAAAGATGAACATAGACTTTGAAAGTAGGTGATGGAAGTATTGGGATATGGCTGATATTGGGACAATGTAGGAGCCTGTGTTGGGAGGAGAACAGAGGTCTGGATGGATGTGCTGGGGCAGGTTGTCATGCTTGCCTGGTAGGATGAGAGACACTAAGCTCTCCAGCAAGAACAGAGCTCGTGGAAGCTTTGCCTGAGTAAGGGGAAGTAATAGCCTTGCAAGACTGGGACCAGAGCCCTGGGGGCTGGATGGGTTGGTGGGGGGGAACTGGTGCTAGCTGCTGAAGTTACCTCATAGGTAAACTGAGGAAAGCTAGAACCACAGTCTGGGCAGTGGCAGTGGAAAGGGAAAAGGCAGAAAGGATGCTTGGATAGAAAGACAAGTAACACTATCTCTTCCTAAATGGCTAGTTACTGTCTCATGCAGTTTTCTACTTTAGAGGCCTCTTCAGACGACCTAACTCTCTAGATGGTGACTGTACTCAGGCCTCCAGGGCCTTGGAGCTAAGGATGCTATTGTTTTGTTTTGGTCCAGTCTTACTCCAGGGCTCAGTTTCCTTGTCTTCTCAGAGGGTTGGGCCTCAGAGAGCTTCTGACTTAACAAGGTAACTGGAAGAGAGAGGACAATCAAGTGTGGGTTGAAATACCACACTTCTCCAAGAAGGAAGGGGAGAAGGGAAGCAAGGCAGGTGAATCACAAGGACCACAAGGTCTTGACTTGGGATGTAGAGTAGGGGCTGGCTAAGGGAGGCTTCCAGCCAGAGCAGCCTTCCCTGGTCTGCTTGGCACTGTAGTTCCCAGGATTGGTCGCCCAAGAGGGAAAGCATACTTTAATGTGTGCACCTGAGCTCCAACTTGGCCATCCAGCCCAGTCTGCTGTCTGGTTAAAGGGTCTGCTCTGCTTCCAGAAATTCAGTGTTGAGTCTGAAATGTTCTAATCCATGAACCATCACACCTGCCATTGGAGTTTCTCAAGGAAACATGGGATACCCAGACAAGGAATGTGGTGTGTGTATGGGGGGGTCCTTTGTATTCAAAAAAAGAGGAGAGCTCAAAGAAGAGGAAGCTGCCAACAGATTCCTGAGAGAGGGGGTGGCTAGAGACCAGGGTTGGCAACAAAGCCTTAGGCACATGTGCCCGCGCATTCTCTTCTGACTGCAGCTGTTCACGCAGGACTGGGAGACAGTGTTTGGAAATGGGGGTGGGGGCACCCTTGCTAGTCACAGTAGTCTAGAGGCCAAGGCCACTCATGGTCACACGCAATGAAGAAGTGCCCTTCTTTCTTGCCAGTGTCACCATCCCAGCACACAGCCTGCCCGCCTTCTGCATGCACTATCTGATCAGATCAGGTTCCTCTATTTTTTCCAAAAGATATCTTCTGTGCCTAGCACAGGGCATAAATAAAAGGTGGGCTTCCTTTCTGGGCTCTGCTGGTTTCCTGGATCTATCCCCCCCCCACACACACACTTCTTTAGATACGGCATGGGTCATGTAAAACCCTCAGCCAGCTCCTAAAGGTAGCCAACCTGTCCACAGTCTGACATCAAAGAGATGAACACATCCCTATTGAACAAACACACACATGGTATACTGTCCTACATACTTTACAAACCTTAATCCACTAACTTCTCCCAATGAACTTATACATTTGGGGACAATTATAATACCAGTTATACAGATGGAAAAAACTGAGGCACATTGGGCTTAAGTCACTTATCCAATGCCATACTGAAAAGGCAATTGGCATCACCAAAGATGCCTGGCTCCGGGTCCATGCTGATTGCTGGGTATTCTTCTACTCTGTAAGTTCAAGTCCAGTGAGCTTCAGGACTGTGTCTGGGTTCCTAAGCTACAGGTAACATTTCTACCTTATAGGTAGCAGCCACAGCCACCTGTTCATTGGGGGCTCCTACCAGCCTGTCTCGGAGGATCCAGAACCCCTCCTGGAACTAGAGAGGACAGGATCTGACCCAAATTGTGCTTCTTGCCTTTCAAAGTGACAATGGCAGGCCGTGTTGACTGAAGAGAATCATCCTGCCGTCAATCAAACTCAGCAGCATAGCCCACCAATACCAAACTTGAAGAGGCTGGGGGCGGGGTTTCCAGGAATGAGTGATGACACCGGGGTGTGGCTGATGTGGGGGGGCTGGCAAATGCAGTCTCACGGGGGCATCTGTGTAGATAAGCCAGTGCCCATTCCCTGGGGCAGCCCACCTTGCCGGGGCCTGCCAGGGCTGTTTGCTGTGCTTTTTCCCCAGCATAGGGAGCAGAGCCCAGAATCCCTGTCAGGCTTAATCAGAAGGATCGCCTCTTCTCTGGGTTTGGGCCAAGAGAGCATCTGCACTTCCCATGAGGTGCCTGAAATGACGTCCAGGTGTGTCACTTACTGAGAACAAGGGTTCTCCTTGTCTTCCTTCTACGGCTTAGCCTGGCTTTGGGGAGTGCCCAGCTTTCCTTCCCAAAGTGCCACCTGCCACCTTCCTTCTCAAGATGAGAATATTGAATGTGGCCACTGGCCGTAGTCATGGAGACCCCGTTGCACATTTTGCCTATAACCTGCCCAAGTACCTACCCATGACATGTCCAAACGCCCAGACAGCTGTCCAACTCCTTTGTCTCTGCCAAGTCCTCGTCCACTCGTGCTCTCCCAATCCCCTTGGACCAGCTCCTTTTGGAGAAGGTTGGTTTGACCTGGTCTGGGGAAGAAAGCCGCACTCACTGGAATGCACAGCAGGAAGTCCGCTTGAGGGGACGTGCACTACCATTGCCAAGGTTAACAGTCTGTGGTTTCTAGACTTTGGATGCCACTTCAAACTGGTAGTTTCACACCCATCCGTTCCGAAAACACAAACCATGGGTGGTCCCTGTTCTCAATGACTCCCGGCAGAGTTGAAAAGGGACCCAGACGAAGACCAGCCAGTCTCTACTTCTGTGCAGCTAGATCCAGTGTAGAGGAGACTTGCACAAATCCCACTCTTACTCTCTTGCTTGTCCTTGTGCTGACATGTTTTCCATCCTTTTCAGTGTCTAGAGAGAACCCTATGATAATTTGGATTGCATCTAGTCTATATTATTGTGACCATGTTGAGCTATGTACAACGGAGCCATGTAAGAGGCTATAAAAATTGTCTTCTATTGAAGAACATTGTATTCCTCTAAAATTAATGGTTTTTCATTCTATTTCTCTTCTCTGTATTAATCACATCTTCCTAAGCTCCTTTGAATGTGTTAGATATTGTACCAGCTTAAGCTTCTGTCTGTCTCTCGCTGTCTCTCTGTCTCTGTCTCTGTCTGCATCTGTTTGTCTCTGTCTCTCTCTTTTTGTCTCTCTGTCTCCCTCTCTCCCCAGAGTGATAGGCTCTGGGCTGGACTTGGCCCTGGCTCATCCCAGCCAAAGTGAGTCCCAAGTCTACACCTGTATGAAGACATTTTTATCAGGCTCCATGTTGATCCTCTAGTCTAAGAACAAGTCCCAGCAGGCCAGACCCACCAGCTTGTAAGTTCCCACGAAAGTCATCCTTGACAGCTCTGTCCCAGAGCTAATTCCCACCAAGTTCCAGCTTTGCTCTTCCAAGGGAGGCTCTGTACTAGACACACACAGAGCTTTAGGGGCACTTCATCATTCCCAGTGTATTCCTATTGGATTGAGCCTATGCCCAAATTTGTATCCTGGCCAGCCCAACAGCAAAAGCCCAGAGGTCTCCTTGTGCCTTGATCTGCAGCTGAAGGGCCACTTCCATGTGCCAGGGGGGCTCCTAGCTGGCAGTTCCTCATATCAGAGGCTTAGAGGCAATAATATCATCCATCTGTGGCCTATGAAGGCTTTCCCCTACGAGGGCCTTCTTGTCCTGGCATAGAGAAGACAAAACAAGGAGTATTAAAAAAAAAAAATGTGGAAAACAATCGGGTAGAAATTTATTTTTTCTTTTTCTTTTTTTCCTCTTCTCTCTCTCTGTCTCTCTCTGTCTCTGTCTCCATCTTTCTTTGTGTGTGTATGTGTGTGTGCCAGTAGTACAACTTGAACTCAAGGCCTGGGTGCTGGCCCTTAGCTGGCCCAAGGTAACAAGGCAAGATCTTAAGACACAAGGTCAAGTCCTAGTTCTGCCCAGGCCTCACTGAATGACTCTGAGAAAGCCTCTCTCCTCTCTGGCCTGCCCCTCCTCTTCCGGACTGTGCCTGTGTGCCCAGATCAGTGGTGTCAAACATACCTGGCTGTGTCCTGGAGATCCACACACGGTTTCACAATACTATGGTCTGCATTGTACTCTGTGGTTTCTGCTTGCCGATAGCTTCTTCTAGTCTACATTTGTTTTTTAACAATGATAACCACAACCTGCCCATAAAGTGGTTTCATAATCCATAATGGCTCACGACCTGCAGTTGGAGAAGAAGTCCCACAGATGATGGCTCTGTAAGTATCCTGGGATGCTCAGGATGCCGTGGCGGGGCTGTTCTTACAGCCAGCCGGGTCCAGGATCCCCGGTCACAGACTTGACTGAGATGTTCTTTCCTTCCCCATCTAGATCTACAACGGAACCCTCAAAAGGGAGCCCGACAACAGGCGCTTCAGCTCCTACAGCCAGACGGAGAACTGGAGCCGGCAATATCCCCGGGGAAGCTGCGCTACCACCGGTGCGGGCAGCGACATCTGCTTCATGCAGAAAATCAAGGCCAGCCGCAGCGAGCCTGACCTCTACTGCGACCCGAGGGGCACCTTGCGTAAGGGCACACTGGGCAGTAAGGGCCACAAAACCACCCAGAACCGCTATAGCTTTTACAGTACCTGCAGTGGTCAGAAGGCTGTCAAGAAGTGCCCTGTGCGCCCGCCCTCTTGTACCTCCAAGCAGGACCCGGTGTATGGGCCACCCATCTCCTGCAACAAGGACCTGTCCTTCGGCCACTCGAGGGCCAGCTCTAAGTGAGTGTCGCTGGGCCATGCTGGAGTTGGGAGGGACTGGGCAGGTGGGAGTGGGGGCAGGCAATCCAGTAGCCTGGCTACTTTGCCAAGAGCCCCGGGAAGATTAGAGAAGTAAAGCCTGTGACTTCCCAGCTTTATTGGCCCCCTGATCATGGGCAGGGGAGCCTCAGGGCATTTTCAGCATGAATGGGAAACAGAGTCCACACATTTGAGTATTGTGGTTTTAAAGGTCACAAGTTCGGTGTGAGGCCAATGGTCATGACAATGTGTCACTGTGTCCAGTAACACCTTCATCACCTGGGAATGTGTTAGAAATGCTTGTTCTTAAGCCCCACCCCGACCATCTGACTCAGTAACCCCTGGAGCTGGAGCCGGGGAGGGTGGACAGCCGTGTGTGCCCTCTAGGGGATTTGGATTCACCCTCCATTCTAAGAAGCTCTGATCTTAGGGAAGTGGCATTTGGAAAGAGCAAAGGAATGTGCCCTGAGACCAGAAGGGGTAATAGGTGATGAGAAAGGAAAATCCAAAGGACAAACAGGACAGATGGACAGACATGAGAACGGAGGGTCATGGTCTTGTGCTAAGAAATGAACATACCTCTTTCCTTTCCTCTTTTTTTTCTTTTCTTTCCCCCGTCACTGCCTCCCCTCTCTGTGTGCCAATACTGGGGCTTGAATTCAGGCCTGAGTGCTATAACTGAACTTTTCTGCTCAAAGCTAGCATTCTATTACTTGAGCCATAATTCCAGGTAAGAGTCTCACAGACTTTTCTGCTAGGAATGGCTTTGAACTGTGATCCCCAGATCTCAGCCTCTTACGTAGCTGGGCTTACAAGCATGAGCTGCCTTTTGTCCCAGGCTGATGGGTCCCTGCTGGGGAGAATGAAGGAGACTTGTGCGGACTCAGACCCGAGGTGGCTTGGATCCCTGTCAGGATCCGTGTCAGGAGTGACACTGCATCTGCCCTTCAGCACTCAGTGCTCTGTACTTCCAGCTGACTGTACTTCCCAACCTAATGGTCACTGTTCATTTCTTTGACAAATATTTACTGTGTGTAATGGCCTGGAACAGGACAGCCCAGTCTCCTGGGGAGTGGGGGCGGGGGGCGACATGATTAACAACTTTCCTCCCTGCCTTAGGAGCTTTGCATTCTTCATCTCTAACAACCACCATCCCTTCTGGGCAGTCACTAGTATTCCTGAGGAGGAAACAAGGCACAGAGGTGTTAACTAGCTTGCCCAAGGCCACACAGCTGACTGGATCACCCTTTCACACACCTCTACTCTGCAGTTCTGAAGATAAGCAGTATCTCCAATGAAAAGTGAACCTCTCCTACTTGAAGTCTGTAATGTCTATGGAGGACAATTGTGAACAGATCTAAGGAATTCCCCACCCCACCCCACCCCCTTTCTCTCACTGCGGCTCAGACCTTAAATGAAGGGTCCGGAAGAGATGGAGAGGTGATGAGTGACAGACATTCAGAAGTGACGTCTAACTGGTGGAGGGAGGGTGACATCTCTCCAAACCAGACTTGGGTGCTGCCATCCTATTGCTCTGCTCCTGGGCTGATTTTTTTCTAGAAGTGAAGTAGGTTACCCACCGGAAACTGTGACAGTTGTGTGCCAACTATAGCAACATACCAGTCTAGTATGAATGAGGAGAAGACTGTCTTTACAAGAGCTAAAGGGCCTCTGTGGGGTCTGGCTGGGCATCACTGCAATCTGCCTTTGCCCTTGAGGATACCTTCAGGGGGAAAAGCTGCTGGTGACTACACCCCTAGAAGGCTTCACAGAATGGAGCTCCAACAGGCCTGGGGTGGGCATTCAGGCCTGCCTGATACCTAAAGCCTCATTATAGAATACCCTTGACAGGGACTGGGGAAGCCGCAAGAGTTCACACTGGAGCTAGACCACTCAGTTAAAACAGGAAATGTCAGCTGAGTGGTGGTGGCTCAGGTCTGTCATCTTAGCTACTCAGGAGACTGAGACCTAAGAATTCCTGCAGGCCTGGACATCGAAGGCTGTGAGATTCTTATCTCCAATTAACCAGAAAAAAAAAAAAGCCAGAAGTGGAGCAATAGAACAATAGCCCAAAGAATAAAGAAACTAACTAATGTCTCATTAATCCTGTGATGTCTGTCAGTCTAAGAAGTTTGAACTTGAATTTGAAGTATGGAAAATGCTCGTGGTTTCTGAGCTGGAGAACACACAGAGGACAGGGTTTTAGGACCATTTCCCTAGTTATAACATGTTGGATGGAGGAGCTTGGAGAAGAGTCAGCCGTGAGGGTCTCTTGCCACCATCCCCAGGAAAGTGATCCTGACCCAGTGATCAGTGATCAGTGATCCTGATCCTGTGGTGTGCACAGGACAGGAAGTAAGTGTGTACGGAGGGCAGCTGAACTTAGGGACAGATGGATTGATGGATGGATGAATGGAATGGAATGGATAGGCTCACAATCATTCTCTTCCATTTTCCCAATAGCAGACATGAACATGAGAAATGGCAGGATAGGCAGAGCACTTCCTCTTAGAAATAGGGAAGAGATATGGCTCAGTGCAGAGATACTTCACCTGCTTGGATCTTTTAACCTATAGTGAGAGCATGGTCACAGCCAGTGTTTCCTTGAGTGGAAAGTGCAGCGGGGAGCCTATGTGTTCGTTATCTGGGGGAGCTGCTCACAGGGCATTCTCCGGGTGGACCTGGCTACCTCGTTCTGGTACTCTGGAGGGCAGATGAGGCTGTAGTAGGTTGGGTGTACAGGGAAGAACTCTGAGCATGCTCACCAGGGTTCCCAGTTCCCTCCATAACACCCCAGTGCTGTCCCCATCCCTTTCAGGATCTGCAGTGAGGACATCGAGTGCAGTGGGCTGACCATCCCCAAGGCCGTGCAGTACCTTACCTCCCAGGATGAGAAGTACCAGGCCATTGGAGCCTATTACATCCAGCATACCTGCTTCCAGGATGAATCTGCCAAACAGCAGGTAACTGACTGCTTGCCTTCCTCCCAGGTAGACCTGAACCAGGCCTGGGTGCATCCACCTGGCTCTTGAACTTAAAGATGGGTGGGGGCATTTGCAGCTGGCTCCTTCTCCCCCTGAGAAGCTGCCAGGGGTGAGGATTATGCCTGGAATTTTCCAAGGTCAGAATTGCATCTTCACTCCCATTGGCAGAGCCAGACCCTCTGTTGTGTGAACATTGGGCAGGTACAAGTCACCGTGAAAGGAAGATAGAAGCCACACATTGAGTGTCGAGGTTTTAAAGGTCACAAGTTCTAACCAGAGAAGGTTAGAGAAGCCAGCTGTTGTGAAAACATGTCACTGTGTCCAGCAACACCTGGGAATGTGTTGCTTGACCCCATCTGGTCACAGAGGACACGTCACTCAGTGACTGCCATGAGTTCAGATATTCCTTTTGCTCAAATTCCATGAAAGAATATGATGATTCCCAAATCTCAACTCCTTCCCTCTCGTACCTCTCTCCCTCTTTTCTCTCACTAACCCCTACCCCTCACCTTATGATAGAAAACAGGGCCTAGTGATGCCCACACACATGGCTAGATGGGCACATCCCAGGCTAGCTCAGCAGTCCAGCCCAAGGATGCTGTGCCAGAAATGGGTGTGCTACAAACCATGTGTAGTTTGCATTTAACTCTCTACCATGCATCTCCCTTATGATTGTGCTCAACCTTGTGATTGTGAAGTATATTCATGTGTGTTTCTTATCTTCACCGCACTCAAGGTGAGGAAAATGGAACTCAGGACAGAGGAGCAACTTGTGAAGCTCCTAGCAACAATGAGAGGGAGCTAGGGTCTGAATTCAGGTCTCTTGCCTTCCTGTCTAAATTGGTTAACACTACCTCTTGCTGTTTATTTGTTTTGGATTCTGCATTGAAAGGAGAATTTTCTCTTGGGGGATCTGAGAAAAATATACTTTGAGCAGAAAGTAACTGGTTCAGCCTTCCCAACCCCAACCAAGCAATATGGCGGCTCTTCCGGCAGGTATATCAGCTGGGAGGCATCTGCAAGCTGGTGGATCTCCTTCGCAGCCCCAACCAGAATGTCCAGCAGGCTGCCGCTGGGGCCCTGCGTAACCTGGTGTTCAGGAGTACCACCAATAAGCTGGAGACCCGGAGGCAGAATGGGATCCGTGAGGCCGTCAACCTCCTAAGGAGAACCGGGAGTACTGAGATCCAGAAACAACTAACCGGTAGGGCATCCAGCATGGACAGTCTGGGAGGGGGTGGTGTCACACTGCAGGCTCTGGCCTCCAGTCAGGGTGTGGATCATGCTTGGGGCCAAGACCCAGGCACAGCCATGCAACTTATCCCATAGGAGTACCCTAAAAGTCCAATGACACCGACCTTGGCCACATCTGGTATCCTGGCGGTGTGACCTTGAGTGACGTGCATACCCACAGGAAGACTTTTTTCTTTTTTGGCAGTACTGGAGTTTGAACTGGGTCCTAACTAGGCAGGTACTGTCCCTCTTGAGCCCTTTCTGCTTTTAGTTTTCAGGTAGGGTCTGAATTGGCCTGAGACCTAGATCCTCCCATATCTATGTCTTTCATGAAGTTAGTATGGTGGCAAACACCCATCACCATGCCCAGCTTATTGGCCAAGATGAGAAATCTAATTTTTTATCTGGCCTGGCTTGGAACTGCCATCTTCCCAATCTCTGCCTCTTGAGTTGCTGAAGTTACAGGCATGAGCCACCATCCCCAGCAAAGTTCATTGTCTTTTTAGGTTAGAGAGCAAGGGGAGGAAAGCGGGTATGTAGGCAGGATCCTCCCGCAACAGGGCCTGGGATTTGTAGGTGAGGGAGAGCAAGGCTGGCAAGGCAGGGTTAACAGGTGGTAAGAACTTACACATGAAGCACCAGGCAGAGGGCACCATGAAGACCTCAAATTGGACTGTGAAGGTAAATCCGTGTAGAGGAACAACTGAAAGAAATTCTAGGGTGATTTTCAGATGGAAAAGGAAAACATTAGAATATTCTGAATAGTATTCACTTAGACTTAAAACCACAGATCAATCAACTATACTTTGGTCACCTTCAGTATACATAGTGTGCTGCTACTTGGGCTTAAACTCAGGCCTTATGCTTTTCTTGACTGTTTCACTCAAAGCTTATGCTCTACCACTTGAGCCATACCTCCACCTCCAGCTTTCTGCTCTTCCATTGGAGATAAGAGTGTCTCTGATTTCTCTTCCTGGGATGGCTCTGAACTGTGATCCTCAGATCTCAGCCTCTTGAGTAGCTAAGCTTACCAGGGTGAGCCACCAGCACCCAGCTCCTATGTAGAACTTTTACCTAGATAGACCAGCAACTCTGAGATGTTCCTGACCCTCAAAGGGCCTGTAGTCCATTGGAGGTACAAAGGGTAAGCTCATAAGTCAGACTTAGGTCTGGTAGAACAAGCCTATCTGGAAGGAGCCATTTGCTAGAGCCTCGGCTGGGAGTGGCACCCAGGCCCCCAGGTATTCTGGGGCTGCATATGGTGAAGTGAACACCTTTCCTTGTAGGGCTGCTCTGGAACCTGTCTTCTACTGATGAGCTGAAGGAAGAGCTGGTGTCCGATGCGCTGCCTGTTCTGACCGACCGGGTCATCATTCCCTTCTCTGGCTGGTGTGATGGCAACAGCAACATGTCCCGTGAAATGGTGGATCCTGAGGTCTTCTTCAATGCCACAGGCTGCCTGAGGTGAGAGCAGAGGGCACACGGGCCTTTCCACCGCAGCCCGAGCGCAGCTCTGGGCAGCCCTCTCTCCGCCACCATTCATCCAGGACAAAGAATGTAACATCCTGTTGGCTCTGGTCCCCACGGGTCGGCTCCAAGACAATGTCCGGGCATTGGCAGCATCCCTGAATGGAGCGAAGACTTCCTTTGGTGGGAGATAAAGTGGGTGTGGTTAGGAATCTAAGAGTAAAATTACCCAGATCTGAATATCCAGACTGATTCAACTATATCCCTTCCTCTAGCCCTGGGGGCAGGGGGGAGGTGGGGAGTATTTCTTGTACTATCTTGAAGAATGTTCTTTTAGACAAAAACCTACTGATTGGCTCCTCATGAGTCACCTCCCGACTGTGGTACTAAAACCCTGTGCCATGTTCACTGGCAAGAAGATGGCCCCGCTTTGCCCAAAGTTGCCTGAGTTCCACACCAGGGTGTGGCAAGCCCCTGTGGGGCTGGTGGGGAGGGGATTTGGCTCTGTTTGTTCTTGGAGCCGAGGTTTACAAGCTGCAGGGTGGATACTGTGTGAAGTGAGAAATGGGAGAGCAAGATTCCCCCTAGGGTCTCCCTTTGCTATAATGGGGTTTGTGTTCCCCAACTCCTGAGAACCTTCCAGAGTGGGGCCTAGTTGGCATGTGCTTCTGTCTCAACTTGTGCTTTCCCCAGCCAGCCTCCAGGACCCTCCAGGGAGCAGAGAGGCAGGGGAGATGAAAAGCCAGGGTAATTAAGGATCCTATGGAACTACAGGATTGCTAAGGGCAACACTAGACACACACAGACAGCATGTATGCATGTGTGCCCGCCCCCCCCCCCACACCACATACAGCAGAAAGGCCAGATTGCTTCACAGCCATGAGGAATGTAGGTGCATCTGGTCCCCAGCAAAGCCTGTCTGAGCTCCATTCCGTTCTTCCTAACCTCCTCCTCCCGTGCACACAGCAAATAGGCGAAACTTCCAGCCTCTGTCCCTACAAGTGGCCACTAGAGGGCTGGAGGTTAGACTGCCAGTTGCAATGGAGCCATTGAGAATCAAAAAGGTCACCAAGTTTGAGGATTTAAGTAAGCAGAAAGAAAAAGAGGAATAGCTAAGTTCACAAGAGACCGCATTAACCAGCACTAAGCAGAACTGATTAAACCATTTTTCCTTCCTCCCCCCTTCCCTCCTTTCCTGTCCCTTTTTCCCCTCTTCCCCCTCCCCTTCTTCCCTCCTTCCTTCTTCCCTCTCTCCTTCATTTCCTTCCTTTTATCATTCTTTCCTCTTCCTACCACAACTTCCAATATTATCCCATCCTGACTGTCTGCTCTTCTCTGCTCCTCCTCACCCCCATGAATTTCCCACAATACTCCCTCCCCTTTCTCCTGTGCTCTCTCTCCATCGTGTCCACATCCTCATGCCCTCCTGGTTCTTTCCCGCAGGAACCTGAGCTCTGCTGATGCAGGCCGCCAGACCATGCGGAACTACTCAGGGCTCATTGACTCCCTCGTGGCCTATGTCCAGAACTGTGTGGCAGCCAGCCGCTGTGATGACAAGGTAAGGGTACAGCCCCTTGGTGGCACCTCCTCTCGTAGCCCTAGCCCAGTACCCTGTGTCCAGAGCTGTGAAGCCCAGGGTCATGACTGGAATCATGAGGTCAGATGCTTGGACTCCTGGTCCTGACATTTCTCTATCCCAGTCCCCATGAGTCAAGGCTGCCCTTTCTCAGTGTCTTTGAGGCCTGGCTCAGTGACAGGACAGGAACACAGAGTTTGGGCCACTGGAGGGGACATCGAGAGGCAGGATGGCAGAGCTCTGGGACTGCAGTTAGCAGTGGTACTGAACTCTGCCTTGCAGCCTTCAAGAGCCTTCAATGTTTCCCCCAGGAGAATTCATGTCCTTTCCATGATGACACCTTTCTGCCACTGCCTCAAAAAAAAAAAAGTATCCACAGGCCACTGACCTCTCTGGACATTTAGGCCCCTGAGACAAAAAAGACAAATCACAAAGAGAAGATGGACCCAAAGGCTGAGCTGTTTCCTCTACAGGAGAACAGTGAGAGTCGCAGGGGACAGGAAAGTCTCAGGAGATAGTGTGGGCTTCTGGTCACCAGGGGACAAGAGAGCAGAGTGACAGCACCTGGGTTCTGAGAGAGTTTATCTCCTTTCCCTAAAGTGACAATAGGGCCTCAGAGGACAGCTTGTCACTTGTCTGTCCAGCCCCATTCCCTCCGAGCTAGTTGTTTTTCTGCTCTGTATACAATGTCCTCTACCCCTCAGTAGCCCCAAGTCTAACTGCTCCCCCATGTCCTACAGCCCTGGCCGTCAGACTCCCTCAGACCCTCGTTGTTATAGTGTATTGTTCAGAGAAAATGATAAGAAAGATATTCGTACTTGCTCAGTAGATGTGTTTGCTGATTGACTGGAGATCAGAGTCTCTCAAAGTTATCTGCTTGGGCTGACATCAACCTGCAAGCCTCAGATCTCAGCCTTCTGAATAGCTAGGATTTCAGGTGTGAGCCACCAGCGCCCAGCCGAGATGCAACTTTTTTTTAAAAGAAAATCATTTCAGTCCATGGTTGGTTGAACCCAAGGAAACAGAGGGCCAGCTGTATCCTCTTCCCAGGAGTACGGTGAAGTCACATTTGTACCCAAGGCCCAGAAAGGCCAGGTGAGTCACTCAGGTTTAAACCGCCAGGAAGTGAGAGAGGCAGGCTTCAAGCCCAGGAATGTCTGTGGGAGGTCTTTCCACATTGAGGATGTGCAGGTGTCTGTGCACGTCTCTCCCAAGGCTGCTCTGCTTGGGCAGGGTGGGTGATGGGCCCGGGAGCCTCACAGGGCTAAACAGTGGCTCAGGTGCTTTCTATTTGCCCCCAGTCTGTGGAGAACTGCATGTGTATCCTGCACAACCTCTCTTACCGCCTGGATGCCGAGGTCCCCACCCGCTACCGCCAGCTTGAGTACACCGCCCGCAATGCCTACACTGAGAAGTCCTCCACTGGCTGCTTTAGCAACAGGGGCGACAAGATGATGGTAAGCACTGTCCGTGGGCCCCACCAAGCTCCCACCGGGTCCACTGTCCTTCTTACCCTTTCCTCTGGGCTCCGAAAGCAGCCCTGGGGGACAGGCCTCCGCCAAAGTAGCCTGTAGGGCCTGCTACACCCTGTCCATCTTGCCTGCAGAGGAGATCTGAGTTCCTAGGGCTGTAGGAACCCAAACCATCCTAGGGCAGCTCTAGGTACCTATCTAGGGCAAAAAGCTCTAGATAGGATAGACTACAGCCTCAGTCTGTCCTACTATAGCATAAATAAAGTGTGTCCCATATTCTTTCTCCCTGACCGTGGGCTGTGAGGAGTGCAGAACTCAGATTCCTCTCCCTCCTTGGTTCCTAGCCTCTCTCAAGCCTCCTGAGAGGTGCCATGGAAGGAGGGAAAGCCAGGCTTCCTCCACCGAGCATGGCTATAGAAGCCAGGCAGGTCCCTAGGCCAGCTTGTAGACTCCAAGCCAGGTCAAGCTCACCGCAGCTGGATGCACAACCTGAGACTGGGGGCGGGGCAGGACGCGTGGGTGGTGTCCCCTTCCCAGGGTCCCCCTTGACATGCTCCCTGTCCTCAGAACAACAACTATGACTGCCCCCTTCCTGAGGAAGAGACCAACCCCAAGGGCAGCAGCTGGCTCTATCACTCAGATGCCATCCGCACCTACCTGAACCTCATGGGCAAAAGCAAGAAAGATGCCACCCTGGAGGCCTGCGCGGGTGCCCTGCAGAACCTGACTGCCAGCAAGGGACTGGTGAGGAGGCCCCTCTCCACTGCTCCTCTGCAACCCACCCTCCAGGGTCTGCTTCCTACTTTTTTTTCACCAGCCTGTCCTGTCTCTGGCAGAGTCTATCACACACAAACAGGCTTCCAGCCTCAGGCTTTAGACATGAGCGTGTGAGGGCCCTGCCCTCTGGGAATGCCTGCCCGCTGTCCTGTGGTGCTGGCTTCCTGCACCCTGCCTGCAGTGGGGATAGGAAGGCGCGGTGTGTTTGGCAGCAGTCCCCATCAGTCTGAACTGAGAAATGTGAGAAGAGAGTCTGGTGAGTCGCACCAGAGGAAGATGAGACAGAATCAGTGTTAAGTTTGGGGACCAAACACCATGCGGCTGTTCCCTACCATTCTCAGGTCAAAGGGGACATGGACAGCAGCAGAAGAAGGTAAAGGAAACTTATCTAACTAGAAACTGGGGTCTCTGAACACCCCCAAACCAGCCCAGACAGGTTACGACAGCATACCTTTGTTGTTCTGAGCCCCTCCAGAGGCTCCATGATCCATCCATGATCCTCCATGATCCATCTTTGTTCTTGGGCAAGCTGTGAACACACAGGGAGTGAATTCTACAGAGGTAGGGAAGTTGGAAGAAGATGGGCAGACCCTTTGTTCATAGTCCAATGCCCTTGATCCTGTGTACAGATTCTGCTGAGGAAGGTAGAGTAGGGGGAAGAAGTGGACACTGTTAGTCTAGAAGCCGATTCTGCACCACACAAACACCCGCTCTTCCTCCTCAAGGGCAGAGGGAAGGGTCAGGAAGGGGACAGATGAGCAGGTAAATTCTATAGTCACCCAAGTATGAGCTGCTTGGGGTTCTGCCCATGCTTCCAACATGAAAGAGAAAACAAATTCACAATTTCTTTGTGGGTTTTTTTTCTGACTTACCTGCCTCTCTGCCTGCCACAGTGCCCAGGAAGCTAGCTCACAGAGTAACTGGTCCCTGGGCCTTCTCTTGCAGATGTCCAGTGGCATGAGCCAGCTGATTGGACTGAAGGAAAAAGGCCTGCCACAAATTGCCCGCCTTCTGCAATCTGGCAACTCTGATGTGGTGCGATCCGGGGCCTCCCTCCTGAGCAACATGTCCCGCCATCCTGTGCTGCACAGAGCGATGGGTAAGGATGCCTGCCCTCCTCATCAGAGAGGAGGCTTCCCAGTTGCAGAGCCTGCTGCAAGATCACCCAGGGAAATGCTTTCCCCAGTATCCTGAGGGGAAGCTGGCCCAGGAGAGATGGGGAGATGGGAGGGGAGTGGGTGTGCAGAGGTCCATTTCGTCTGGAGCTTGCAAGGAGTCCTGACAGACTGCCTGGTGTGGGGCAGCCCAGAACTCCAGCCTCAGTAGGAACCCCCTCAGCCTCTTCTTCCTTAGCCGCCCTGACTCCCCACTCCTTCCTCTCCAGGGAACCAGGTGTTCCCAGAGGTGACCAGGCTCCTCACCACCCACACCGGCAACACCAACAACTCAGAAGATATCTTGTCCTCCGCCTGCTACACCGTGAGGAACTTGATGGCCTCCCAGCCCCAGATGGCCAAGCAGTACTTCTCCAGCAACATGCTCAACAATGTCGTCAACCTGTGCCGCAGCAGGTGGGCAGGGAAGAGGCTCCCTCCAGCCTTGCTCACGCCAGAACCCTGAGCGGGCTGGGTGGGAGGAATCGTCCAGGGCAGAGAGTGCTGAGGGGCTGTGCTGTGCAGCCTCCCGGCCCCAGGGCTGCAAAGCAGGGACTGAGGCAGTGCACTTTGCAGCTGGTAGACATGCCCTGGATACTCAGGGGGCCAACTGGAGACCTAGGGCAGCTTCCCCAACTCTGGGGGTAGTTCTCCGCTGCTCCATGGGGCTCTTTCATGTCTCAGGACATGAACTGGGAGGTTGGCGTGGTGGGCCTGGCCCTCGGGATACTCCTAGGTGCCCAGCAGTATGGGGTGGTGCCCACTGCACAATGCTGGGGCTCCTCATGGGCCCCGTGGCCTCTGTGTCACTCAGACCGGAAGGGCTGGGTGGGATGGAGGGAGGAGGACGTCTCTTCTCACTCACTTCCCTCCTGTGCAGTGCCTCACCCAAGGCTGCGGAGGCTGCGCGGCTCCTCCTGTCGGATATGTGGTCCAGCAAGGAGCTGCAGGGTGTTCTCAGACAGGTAAGAGCCCACACCAGGAGCTCTCTCCCGACTTGATCTCTATGGAAGTCCCAGGACTAAGAGAGGGGACTGGTGTGTCTCAGGCAGGTGATCTCTGTAACCTTGGGTCTCACCTTTGGGCCACTCTCACCCAGCTCAAGGAAGCTGTTGCCTTGTGCTCTTCACTGTCTTACCCAGTCTTCTGGGTCTCTCTGGGCAGTCACCACTTGACAAGAGGGAGGAAAGATGGGTGGGCCCTTAGAGCAAGAACAGCTCAGCACCAGCAACCACCAGCTTAGAAACACGGGCCTGTCTACTCTGCTGAGACCTCTTGTTGGGATTTAAAACAAAGACAGGGATCAGCAGAGGGAAGAATAGCCTGTGCTCTCTCATCTGATTTTAGTGGTGTTTTGTGTGAAGAGTGACAAGGCTTAGCCTAAATTCTCAGGCCTTGGATCAGATTCCTGCAAATGCAAATAGGAAACTCGAATGTGCTCATGAAAATCCAAACATATCTTCCTAGTTTATGGATATCAATGGTCCTATGGTTGGGTGCACAATCAGGCCTGTGGTAGCTTCTACACACACGTAGGTAGTGGTCAAGGCACACCAGGGTCCAGAGGCAGCCGCAGCAGCCTGAGTCTGACCCTACAGCGACCCCCACTGTCTCGTTGTAGGATGTGATTTGTTTTGTGTTTCTCCCCTTGCAGCAAGGCTTTGACAGGAATATGCTAGGAAGCCTGGCTGGAGCCAACAACTTTAGGAACTTTACCTCCCGGTTCTAAGAAAAGATGGTTGAAGCAAGTTTGGCTTGCAGGTAAGAATCATTAAGACACTCTAGCACAAGGGGTGTCTTGGGCTACTCAACGCGGTGGCCCTGGTCTCCTTAGGGACAGGGAAGCGTCCTTTGGCCTGGCAGACAACTTGGCTCTGACCCACACAAGGATTGGGAGGACAATTGTGTAGAGCCCTGGCAGAGGGGGCTGGACTGTCCCACCACAGGGCATTAGTGATAAAGAATGTCATCCAGGGCAGAGGCCTGGGTGCTGGTGGCTCACTCCTATAATCCTAGCTACTCAGAAGGCTGAGATTTGAGGATCTCATTTTGAAGTCAGCCTGGGCAGGAAAGCCCATGAGACACTTATCTCCAATTTAAAAAAAAAACAGGGGCTGGGAAGGTGGCTCAGTGGTAGAGCGCTTGCCTTACATGCATGAGGCCCTGGGTTCGATTCCTCAGCACCACATAAGCAAAAAGAAAAAAGCCGGAAGTGGCGCTGTGGCTCCAGTGGCAGAGCACTAGCCTTGAGCTGAAGAGCTGAGGGACAGCGCCCAGGCCCAGAGTTCAGGCCCCACGACCAGACCTCCCCCCCCCCAAAAAAAAAAAAAACTAGAAGTGGAGCTGTGGTTCAATGCTAGCACAAAGGCTCTTGGACAGCACCTGGGCCCTGAGTTCAAGCCCCAGTATCAGCGGAAAAAAAAAAAAGCAAAATACAAAAGCAACAACAAAAAGAAAATGGGCAGAGGATCTGGGCAATACTGCTAGGTACAACTATGTTGTCCACTACACAATTCAGGTAGTACCATTTACGTGGATTACTCTGTTTATGTAATATGTGTCATTCTGGATTTGGTCACTCACAATGTACTTTTTTATAACTTTTGTTGTTGTTGTTGTTAAGTCATAGAGCCTATGACTGGGCCTGGGCGCTGTCCCTCAGCTCTTCAGCTCAAGGCTAGTGCTCTGACCACAGCACCATTTCCGGCTTCTTCTGCTTATGTGGTGCTTAGGAATCAAACCCAGGGCCTTATGCATGTAAGGCCAGCACGATCTACCATAAACCACCTTCCCAGCCCCCTTTTTCATACTCTTTATGGTCCATTTTCCAGGCTCTGTAGGCACCTAGTGTGGACGAGCTTGAACCAATACTATGCCAAAGGTTTGCAAGCCTTGGCATTCATTAGAATCACCTGAGATGCCTGCTAAAAATGCTCACTCCAGCCGGGCGCTGGTGGCTCACACCTGTAATCCTAGCTACTGAGGAGGCTGAGATCTGAGGATCGTGGTTCAAAGCCAGCCCGGGCAGGAGAGACCGTGAGACTCCTATCCCCAATAAACCACCAGAAAACCGGAAGTGGCGCTGTAGCTCAAGTGGTAGAGCGCTCGCCTTGAGCTGAAGAGCTGAAGGACAGCGCCCAGGCCCAGAGTTCAAGCCCCACGGCCGACCAAAAAATAAAATAAAATAAAAATAAAAATGCTCACTCCTGCTCTCAGCCAGGCATTCTGACTCAGCAGCGCAGCAGTGGAGTTCAGGGAAATACATCTAAAACAAACATCAGTGTTTCTGAGGAGAAATACAGAAGTCAATAAACATACAGAGGCTTGCTGGAGGCAGCTCTGGTGTTCGAGAGTCTTCTGCAAGTTGTTAGGGATGAGAACGGGGCCTCCCACTACTAGGAGACCCTGGGGAGAGAGTGGGCTGTCACTGGCCCAGAAGAAGCTATTAAAACTGCAGCTACACTCCTGGAAGATGAGCTTGAGCAACTTGGGAGCCGGAAGGAGAGATTCGATTCAGCAGTTTTGTTTTGTTTTGCTTTGGTACAGGTACTGGGGCTTGAACTCAGGGCCTTGAGCTCTCACTTGGCTCTTTTTGCTTAAGGCTTGAGCTCTACCACTTGAGCCACACCTCCCTTTCCAGGTTAATTGGAGATAGGAGCCTCTGTGCTTTTTCTGTCCAGGCTGACTGTGAACTATGATCCTCAGATCTCAGCCTCCTAAGTTGCTAGGATTCCAGGCATGAGCCATTGGAGTCCAGCCTAGTTTCAGCAGACTCTTAATTAGTGTGGCTGATGCTTTGTGCATAGCGGTGGTAGAGGTCTGGAACAGAGGTGTTAAGACAAAGCTGGCCACCTTTTTAACCCATCCTGAGTAACCATCAATCGTGTTAAGGATGACCCTGACTCCAGTCTCAGGCCAGAGCACAGGTGTGAGTAAGATAGAGTAGTAATACACGTAGAAAACATCTCACTACAGCTTAACAGTTGTTTTTTTCTTCCCTTTCCCCCCCCCCCCGCCCCCCCAGAAAGATACAACCCAGCTGAGAAGACTTGGGCCTCGATGATGGGTTATTCTCTCCAGCCTGTGCAGTATTTGAAAAAGTTCAAATGCAACCAAGAGCGAACCTGAAAACTGTTGATGATGGAAATATTTTTAGATTCTTTTTTTTTCCTTGGGGGAACTGGCAAAAGAGGGGGGTTGGGGAGGTTGGGAGGGGACTTTCTTGAGTTAAAGGGGCTTAATCTGATGTCAATACTTCCTTCTCTAAGATACAGTATATATATATGTGTATAATGTAAGTGTGCAAGTGCACTTGTGTGTGTGCATGTGTGTGCATGTGTGTGCGTGAGTCTAACAGCATAACCATGAACTATAAAAGCTGGGTGTGCTGTTCCATTGTAGCTCATGGGGCAGAGCAAAGGACTTTACACGTCTCTCCCTTAAGACAAGGGCCACAGGTGTTTTCTAATTAGCTGGAAATACATTGTGTCGGGGCTGGCTGTGCCATCCCCCATATAGCGGGGTGGGGGGGGGAGTGCAGGGAAGATAGCCATGGCAGGGGCTAATGTCCCCCCTTTGAGGTCCCTTAGCAGTCAGGGAGGTTGGCTGGGGTGTTACAGCTCAGTGCATCTTGTGGGAACATCTCTTGCATCTGACAATGCTGCCCTTCCCACAGTGCCACGAGGTCTGGGTTGGGCAGGGTGTGGACTATGGAGACAGCAGGGGAGTCTCGGTGCTCAGCTATGTGAGGGCAGAGAGATGGGCTGACTTTCTCTTGAGCTGTGCCATGCACAGCAGAGTCAACCTGCAGAGCCCTTCCTTCAGGGAACCTGCAAACATCTGGCTGCAGGAAACAAAGGTAAAAACGGTGCTTGAAGTCCAAGTGCTGTCCATGGGGCTGAACAGTGGAGTGAAGAACAGGCTGAGGCTGGAAATCTTCCTACTGCCGTTTCCAGTGAAACTGGGGAGGGGCGTTGGAAGTTACCCAGCTGCTTCCTGCCAAGTCTGCAGTCAGGAAAGGAAGGGTCTGGGGTCCCTCCCCAGTTAAGGCACCAATTAGCCCAGATCTCAGCCAGGAGCTACCCAGATTCCTTCTCCTGAACTTCAGCCATCCTTTCCCCATTCTGCTTTTGCAAAATCTGTAAGAGCTGGAATAACAGATCCATCAGGGCCATCCTCCAAGACCCCAGACTGTGCATCTCAAATAAGCAGCAGCAGCAGGCTTCTGGGAACTCGGTAAGAAGGCCTCTCAGTGCTAACAGCCCTTCAGATGGGGTGGACAGAGCAGCTCTGGGCTTCTTTATTCAGCCTGGCGTGGGTGGTGTTGGGTAGATATTGACTGCCTGGCCATGCCCTTCTCTAGAGAGACACAGGATGCCTTCCTCCCCTCTGCACGACACCCAGCTCACCCTACTTTACCTGCCAGCTGTAGAATTAAAGCTTCTGGACTCAGGAGGGCGTATTGAGAGATGCAGCCATCATGGAAGACGCTGTCCACTGAGAGGTGCCCCAAGCCCCCTCACCAGATGTGTGCTGGCACTGTGGGTCTGGAACAGCTGCCCCAGATTTAGCTCGTCGTGGAAGGTCTACTCCTGGCTTGCCTCACCCTCTCGTGGGGCTACGTGGGAGCCTGTCCCATCAAGATGTCTTGGGCATAGGACATCACCAGGACCTGTAGCAATCCATTTCTGGCTTGCAGAGTATCACTCAGTGCCAGCCAGTGCTATAAGCACTTAAGATACACCAAGAAAGCAGCCCATACTCTGTCTTCACATAGCTTACCTTCTCCTGTGAGGATGGACATTCAGACCTTAGGATGGACATTCAGACCTTAGTCTAAGAGAAGGTACAGAATAGTCAAAGCAAGAGAGTAACAAATCAACACAAATGGAACTGTTATAAGCCCAGGGCACCCCTCCCCCCTGCCCCAAGCATAGTCCTCACTTCCCACACCCCCTCTGTCCTCCACACAGGATGAAGAGCTGGTCTGGGGAAAGGGGATACCCTTTGTTTTGAGAGTGAGGCAGCTGCTCAAATGAGGCCAGCATGGACAGTTAGGTCAGGCCTGATTGTAGGAGCCATTCTCGTGCCTTCTCATGCTGGCCAGGTGGGCTGGTCACCCAGGCTTTTGACCCTTGGGAATGATGCCAGGATTTCCTGTGCCTAAGACAAATCAGCCATTGGCCACCAGCACTCTCTCCAATGGGGCCAGTCCGGCCACCCAAGGCTACACTTCTCCTAGGAACCCAGGGGGTGCAGGTGCCCTTCTCTGGTTCCCTCAGTGCCCTGCGAGGATGGCTGTGGCTGGGAGCTGCCTAGGGAGCCTCTCTCCAGCCCACCACCACTCTTGCTTCATGTTTGTATAAGAACCTGTGCTGGCCAGGCCCAGTTTCCCTGTATGATATACCATGTCATGTACTTGCTTGTGTGTGTGTGTGTGTGTGTGTGTGTGTGTGTGTGTGTGTGTGTGTGTGGTGGAAATAGAGAAAATCAATAAATTGCTAGCAATTCTTTGAAATCTTTCAAGCTGTGGATTATTGTTTTCAAGCAGAGATTATTATTCCTGCCAAGATCCCCTCCTGAGAACCCCATGCTCAGGCAAGAATGGAGAAAGTCACATGAGAACAGAGGACATGAAATCGTCATAGCTACTTTCCCTTCCTCCTTAGCCACGTGAGCCTCACCACACCTCTGCGATGCTGGTATTGCTGTCCTGTTCTAACAAATAAGTAAAGTGTAGCATAGGGTGGAGGCAAATAGGCCAAATGCCACCCAGCTTGTAAATGGAAAAGCCACCAATGCACCTTGCAGGTCACGGAGCTTCAAAGGTGATGTCCAAGGACCTGGACTCTGCCCACCAGGCTCTGTCTGTGGCAGAGGCAGAAGGCTCAAAAATGCCAAGCATGTGGAGGACTGCAGCCTCAAGAGACCCATGAGGGGGTAACACGTGCATGGAGAGCCTCCCAGGACACGCGGCAAATTCCAGGGGTGGCATGGGAGCAACTGCTGTGCCATCTGTGAGAGCCAGGGCCCCTGGGTGGAGAAGCACTGGGGAGAGTGTTGTCCAGACTGGAGGCTGGAGACTGGAGGCCTCTAACAGCCCATGCCCTGGTCTCCTGCGACATTGTGACATTTAGCAAAGGCCAGAGAGGCCAGGGAAGAAGACCTGCACCACAGCTCAGGAGGGCTAGCTGTGCCTCAGACCTATAGATACACTAGGGCTGAGACTTCTGGAAATTGATGTGTGTGTGTGTGTGTGTGTGTGAGAGAGAGAGAGAGAGAGAGGGAGAGAGAGAGAGAGAGAGTAGTCCTGGGGCTTGAACTCAGGGCTTGAGCACTTGTCTCTGTGCTTTTTTTTGCTCATGGCTGGCACTCTACTACTTGAGCCATAGTCCCACTTCCAGCTTTTTGCTCATTAATTGCAGACTTTCTTGTTCCGGCTGGCTTCAAACCACAAAGCTCAGATCTTAGTCTTCTTCCTGAATAGCCAGGATTACGGGCATGACCCACCAGTGCCCAGCCCTGGAAGGAAATGTTTTGAGACTTGAAAACTATGTTTAAGTTGCAAAATGTGAGCTCAAATTACAAATTCAAAATCAACACAAGCTTTCATCAAAGTACAGCTCACAAGCATATAGCCAGTGACTCACACCTGTAATCCTAGCTATTTAGGTGATTAAGACCTTCCAGGTCACAGTTTGAAGAAAGTCTAAACAGAAAAGTTTGAGAGTCTAGTGTCTACTTCCAACTAACCACCAAAAAGCTGGGCTGGAGGTGCCGATCAGGTAGTAGAACACCAATGTAAACAAACCCAGAGAGGATAAGGACCCTGAGTTTACACCCTGTTAACAGCAAATATAAATATGTATATATATATATATATATATATATATATGTGTGTGTGTGTGTGTGTGTGTGTGTATGGAGAGAGAGGGAAAAAGACACATATATGCATATGGAGATGAGAAAGAGACACAGAGAAAGAGAGAGAGAGGCCAAGAAATACACTATTTAAAATGTGTGCAGTTCTGACTCATTTCAGCTTGAACAGTACCCAGAGCAAGAAGCAGGATATGACCACCACCCAAGCCCTTCTCAAGACCCCACAAGGACATTCTGAACCCACCATTCTGAACATATTTTTATAGTTCTGCCCATTTTGACTTCACATAAAGGGAGCCAATAGCAAGCCATTTCTCTGGAGGGGACTGGTTCTTTTTTTTTTGTCAGTCATGGGCCTGAACTCTGGGCCTGGGCGCTGTCCCTTTGACTCCACCACTTGAGCCACAGAGCCACTTCCAACCTTTTCTGAGTAGTTTATTGGAGATAAGAGTCTCATGGACTTCGAACCATGATCCTCAGATCTCAGCCTCCTGAGAAGCTCAGATTATAGGCATGAGCCACTGGTGCCCAGCTGAGACTCTTATGTCCAACTAACAAGCAAAAAGCTAGAAGGGGAACTCAGCTAAAGTGGTAGAGAATCAACCCTCAGTGAAAAAGCCAACTGTTAGTGCAAAGCCCTGAGTTTAAGCTCCAGTCTCAGCGCACATGTGTGCGTGCACACACACACATACACACAGAGAAGAAAATAGATCTTAGGTAGAATATATGTTCCTTTAATGTGTAGGATTGTCAAAGGGCTACAAAGACCTGGCTCCTGGCCAGGAGGGTGACAAGTCCCTCTAAGATGGGCCAGTAGACACGGGAGGGGATGGGTCCAGGAGATCCAGGCTGTGGCAAGTAAAAGACCTTATGAACCTTGAGGCAGGGTCTCCCAACACCCATGAGCCTGAGCCCCCATGGGATCTGAGCCTGGAAGTCATTTCTTCCCATTCTCTTTGCAACTCTGCTAACCTAGAACTCAACTCCCACATTGAGCCTAGGTATCAGATATTAGAACTCAGTTGATCAGATATTAGAACTATGGTTGGAGAAGAGTGGCCAGTTGTTCAGACTAGCAAGGGCCTTTGGTCCTGAGTGCCCACAATAACTCCTTTCAACCTCAAAGCTTAGGATGTTTGTATCCTGCTGTGACCCATACTCCCCTTTAACCAGGCAGCACAGGGAATTCCAATTTACAGATGAGAAAACTAAGACACAAAGAGAGAAAGCATCTTGACTAATGCCCCA